GGAGGTGGGCGGTTGGGGGGGAGGAGGGAGGGGCATACAAAAAAAATTGTACTTCAATGTTTTAATGATTGACGAATGATGAAATATTTGTGTTTTTTAAAAGAAATAAAAAGTATTCTGTGTCATTAAAAAAAAATATTATTGCAGAATTAAAAACTGAAATAAAGATATTTTTTTCCTGTAGAAGCATCTGAATACAATACCATAAAGCAGTTTCCTTTATTTATGATTTTATGATTGAATGTGCTCACCTTCTGCTCAAATTTCTATTACTGGAAAGTAGATTGGGACAATTTCTCTCAAACTCCACAGAAATTATAAAATGATTTCAAAATTGTTTTTTCTAAAATGAGGAAGAAAAATTCCAAGTCAATATAAAATTTGCTTTTGGCAGATGCATTTTGCTCTTTGATTTTGCTCTGTATGAACTACTACATTCAATTGTGCCTTATGCCTTAAAAAATAGGACAAAGTGTAGGGAATCCAGCCCTTGTTGCAAGCATAGGACTGGACTCCTCAGTACTCAAGTTTCCTGCTATATTCCCAGGAGAACAAGTGAAGCTGCTTTGCTCCTTTGAGCCTCTATGCAAAGGGGAAATAATCGTTACTATTAAGGTGTTTTTGACCCCCCCCCCTTTTTAGGATCTGCAAGAACAAAATTTCTTAACTAAATCATCTGGGGTAGAAAGAGAGAAAGGTTGCAGTAGCAGACTTGGGATGTAGGAATGGAATCCCAACCAGACCTCCTTCTGCACTCAAAAAATTGGTTCCACAACCCTTTGGTCACTTTATTAGAAATGATGGGGAGGGGGAGCATTCTACTTCTCTTGGGGATCAGTACCTGAGCCCGAAGAAGGTGAACCCTGCTTTTCCTTTCCTTGCCTTCAGGTCCACTTTAATGAGCCCTTGGGAAATAATTTCAAAATATGCCTGAAGCAAACTTCCTCATAGAATATACAGGTGCTTATTGCTCAAAAAAAGTATTGTACCAATGCTTTTGTAGTTCTTATTTTAATCAGACTTGTCTCATTATATTAGGACTATAGACCAGTGGTGAATTATTATTTTTTTACTACCGGTTCTGTGGGCATGGCAGGGGAAGAATATTGGAAAATCTCCATTCCAACCCCACTCGGGGGCCAGCCAGAGGTGATATTTAGTGGTTCTCTGAACTACTCAAAATTTCCTCTACTGGTTCTCCAAAGCCTGTCAGAACCTGCTGAATTTCACCCTTATAGACATGCTATAATCTTTTGTGTTTATAGATGGTTGAAATACTTATTCATTGTGCTGATCGAACCATGAAGAAATGTCCCGAGCAGGGTAAAATCCAAGTTATGGAGCAACATTTCCAGGTATGCTACTTTAGACTTACTACCAAAGTGGGATATTAAAAAGAAGAAGCAGAAGCAATAACCTTTTATCTTCAAGAGGAAAAAGAAATTGTGGTCCTAGGCACTAACATTATCACATATTTTGGTCCATTTCAAATTTGTCATATAAATGGAAAATTCATATCGAAGAGACTTCACAAGTATATATAGTTATATAGGAAGATGTAAAATAAACAGAAAAAAAATAAAGAGATGGTAAGAACAGATGTAATTGCTTAAGGAACTAGAAGGAAAATACGTTGTTTAGATAATGGTCAAGAATAAAACTACTATGATGTATATCTTCTTAATCTAATGCCACAAAATTAGCAGAGAATCCTGCAGTCTTTCAAAGAAACATTATATACATAACATTGACTGTAATTTGAGGGGAAAAGATAAAAAGTGAGATGACTACAACTTGCCTTAGACATGACAAAATGTGAAATACCCATATCATTTTACAAGGATGTTTTAATGGTGTATAACGAGATAACACATACCAAGAAGCCTTGTTTTCAGGCCAGTCAGGCCATCAGCCTTAAGTAGTTTACTATCATTTTGCTCTTTGGCAATTATTGGTGGTATTCAAACAATACAGTAAACCAAAAAATTAGCCTGTAATGTGTTCTTGAAAAGTATTCATAAGTTGCTTTTGGTGCAAAATACAGCATCTACATTGTAAAACACCACAAGATCTGCACTGGTTGATACTTTCTTATTAAGCACAATCTAAGATTTGGGTATAGGACTTGACTATCTAAGAGTCCATCTCTCTCATCAAGAACCTTTTGGTCTACTAAGGAGAGACCCTTGGTGTATGCAAATAGTTAGATTTTCCATGTTCCTTTTCTGCAGACTATGGTCCCTGTCATTGTTGACTATTGTCTTCTGCTTCAACGAATGTAAGTAAAAGTAGGCCTCATGAATTATGGCAATTTTTTCCTGGAAAACCTAATCTTCTAGGTTGTTTTAATAAGAGTGAGATCTAATCTACTTGTGCCATAGCACTTGGAGAAGTGCTTCAGGCAATACTTGAAGTATTCCTCTGAATCATCTGTGTATTTTCAGAGAACCAAGGAGGGAGGGAGGGTGATAAGAGTGGGAAGGGCAGTCTTCAAGAAGATGTGATGCTTGAAAAGCATCTTGTTACTGGCCTTGCATAATCTTAATGGATAATTGTTCTATAGCTAGCTTTAAGATAAACATAAGTATATGTATGTGTATGTTCTGCCTGCATAATTTTGAATAATAGTGCTTTGTTTAGAAATTGTTTTTGTATAAAATAGCAGATGATTAAAACAGATATATTGCTAAAAAGTATCCATCTTAGATGAACTATAAACTTTCAGAATAATTTCTGTCAAATACTTGCCATGTCTTTTGCTCCACAGAGATATATTATTTGGTCAAATGTATGACAAGATGAGTGAAAATTCGGTAGCAAAGGGAGTGTTTTTAGAATGTCTTGAGCCATACATTTTAAGTGATAAATTGGTTGGAATCACAGCTCAGATTATGAAGGATTTGCTACTTCATTTCCAAGATAAGAACTTAATGGCAAATATGGAAGCCTGCATTGTACATATGGATATTACCAGCCTTGATATACAACAGGTGATAATTTTTAGTTGTTTATAACATTTTATTGATGAATAAGAGGAATATTCAAAATGTTCTGTATAATATATTTTCCTTAGTGCTATAAAGTACAGTGGTACCTTGGTATTCGTCATTAATTGGTTCCAGGAGGTACGATGAGTGTCAAACAAATAATGAGTACCGAGACAAAATTTTGTGTCAAAATGGTTGAGTACCAAATTTGATGAGTTTCAAAGCAGTTAAGTACCAAGGTACCACTGTATTTGTTAACCAGATGTTATGTTTTAATCTGTCACTTGATTATTCCCAAATCTTATTTTAGGGTGATTTGTGGTTATAAGAAGAGGAAGCTTGTTATAATAATTCCTTAATCATAGGAACTTGGATAACGAAGGCCCAAATAGTGACAGCTGCTCTTCAGGCCTACTTTGATGAATCATTGGACCAAATACTTAAGTGTATCTATAGATAACTAGTTCCATATATAGAGATCTGATGAAGGCACATTATCCAACCCCTAAAGAAAGGGATTCAGAGAAAATACAGACTTTGAAGTCATAGGTTGAAGGCCTCCTAAAAGAGGCTGATGTTTTTGATGTCTTGAGAATGGATCATTCACAAGATATGAATTTTCTAATGAGGGGAAAAGGAAGGCCTTTTATCTCTTGTATCTATATAAATATTGCTAACAAATTTCATACCTTGAAGTGAAGTATGTTCTGAGATTAATCTGCATGTGGTTTTTAGAAGATTTAAAAATCTTAAACTTTGTTTTGCTTCTAGGTTGTCCTAATGTGTTGGGAAAACCACCTGTATGATGCCATGATATATGTCTATAACAGTGGAATGAATGACTACATTACTCCACTGGAGGTAGGAAGATGTATCTTGAATGCTAATTGATGGCTTTGAATTAGGATTATTATTTTAATAATTTCTTTTCTTCCTAATGCAATTAGCTACAATAGTTTATAAATCTTGAGAGACAGAAAGAGAATCAAATACAATCAAATAAACCAATTTACTAAATATATAAATCTTCAAAATTAAAATCTCTAATTAACTGCAGATTCAGTTTGTATAAATGAGCAGTTTCAAAACTTTCTTTAAAAAATATGAAAGTCACTTTCTGGGATCATGGGAATAACTGTTGTGCCTTTGACTTTAAGCAAGTGTTGAGAGCTCAAAACAGCAAAATGGTTATAAGAGATTATGTCCTTTGAGGAGGAGATGGGGTGATGAACTACAAGAAACGTCAGTTTCCCAGAAAAGAGAGAGTACATTCCAGAAAGTTGACGGTGACAAGAGGCAGCACAGCCTAGAGTAAATAGAGGAAGAGAGCAAGGATAGCCACTTCCTAGAATCTCTCAGGGTATATCCTTGTTCAATCTGGCAAGATTCTGTCTGCTATATGTAAAGCAACGCTGACTGAATTGTTCCATTTTGTTCTTGAGTTTAATCTGACATTAATCTTGCTAGACTAAACTCTTCCTTCTACTCTTCCTTCTTTTCTTGCATTGTTAAAAAACATTTTTCTGTGCAGGAAAAATGAATCTTGTGTAAAATGTTCTTAATCATTTAAAGAAAATTATGATGTTTGAACACCTCTTTTCAGCCTTACAGAATCCTTGGTACAGGATTCCATTTAAGTTACTTTGTATGCTTTTTCTTTTGCAAAATTTTCTATGTTACTGACAGGTCCACTAGTATTTCTACGTGACAGTGTGTGAAAATGTTTAGGATGTAATAATTTTCAAGAATGAAAAACCAAAATCACAAAGGAACCATTGATATGCTAATTTTTTCTCCTTTTTATTTTTTTTAGAAATTGTTCAAAGCCATTGCTCATCCACTTAGTGCTGGAAAATCTCTCTCAGGTATACTATGCTTTATCAGTACTTTTTATGGTTTTCTTCTTATATTGTGGGTTCATTTTTCCTCTAATAACGCTTATGAATAGTACTACTCATTACGGCTTTTTACTCAATATATTCTTAGCCTGACAGTTTTCATTTATTAATAATTGGCTTGTTGTTTGTGAGAACTACTTCACTGGGTAGTCCCGACAATAACATTTATCTGAAAAAAATTACTTTTATATGTAGTCTTGTATGAATGCCTAATCTTAGACATACAAAAGTTAATTAACTTGCTAATTCTTCATGAGGGTCACTGTTATTAATTGGAAACATGCTGAGGTAGATGGACCAATATATTAGACTGTTTTCTATAGTACTTGTCTTTAAAACAATGAATAGGATTGTACTCTCAAGACTGAAGGTAATGTGTCTTTTTATACAGTGATAGGTATAATACTACATGTAAGAGTAGAATTTATTTTTTTTACTTTATCAGTCAAGTTTAGAAAGTTGTATTTGGCATGAACCTTTGGGAATATTTAAATATCTGCATACATTGAATTTGGCACAGACATCTCTCAATTTATCAACTTAAAGAGGTAATAGGATCTTGATTTTGGTATATGGTTTTATTAAATCTGCATACATTAGACCATTTAGTAAATGTGTTCAGTTTTCAAGATTATGTATGTATTTTTTGCTGTTTTTTAGATGAGCAAGTCATTATGGGCAACAAACTGCTTGTCTACATAAGGTATGCTTTTTTCAACAACATAAATTAAATATACTACATAGCCACATGAAATAGAAAAATCCTGCTGTGCAATTTATGCTGATGCAATATTTCAATAGTTTAACTGGGGTTGTACGTGTGTGTACTCCTAACAGAGTTATTGTTGTGATTGTTTTAGACTGGGCTGCCCATGGTATTTTATGGTTTAAAGGTTGCTGTTGTTTTTATATCTGTAAGAGATCCAGAATCTAATGGAGCGGGGGCATATAATTAATTTAAATAGTAATGGATTTACATTTAAAAAAAAAACACTGAAAAAAACCAATAGTGTATAATAAAACTGACACATTGACTACAGGAAAACTTAATCAGAAAATGAACAGGAAAACAAAACTCAATTTGATTTCAATGATACAACATATGATTTTCAATTATACCTCATAATTGATACTCATGTCTGAGTGGAGATCAGAAAGGGGGTCTGCAAAGATTCTGGGAGAAAAGTCTCTTTTTCCTACAGTTATTCCAGCTTAGACGGTTCAGCATATTCTATTTTTTTGAGTGAAGAGACCTTTCGTTGTAGGTCTTATCACTAAAATCATATCTTATATCAAAGGTGTCATTCAGATTTTTAACCAATTCTGAAGAACTGGTAGAGGAAATTTTGAGTAGTTTGGAGAATCAGTAAATACTCTGACTCACCCTGCCCTCATCTATTCTCTGCCTCCCGAGTCCCAGCTGATCGGGAGGAAATGGGGATTTTGCAATAACCTTCCCCTGGAGTGGGGCGGGAATGGAGTTTTTACAATATCCTTCCCCTGCCACAGCCACCAAGCCACATCCACAGAACCGGTAGTAAAATTGTTTGAAGTCCACTACTGACCTATATGTTCTGATATGCATGACAGAAAGCTAGGGGGAGCAAGAATATTGTCCTGTAAGCCTTAATTAAGTAATATATTGCTTTATAAGATTGGATATTGTGACAGATGTACTACGGGTGGGAGCTCCATCTTTCACTGGCTTGTTTCTTAATATACTATAGAACTGTAGATTGGGTCTGAGATTGACTTCCAGTCCAAGTATCTGTCCTCCTTTTGCTGCTTATTTCTGTACCTTTGCTGGCTGAATTGGGCAAACAAAAAGTTACATTAACAAAATATATTGGTATGTTTCTGATGACATGCAGCGTACAGTCCTGGTAATGATATTTTTACCATATATAGAGCATATCTTGGTTGAAAGGTTAAATCTCAGTGAATCTAGGTAGGACACTAGAGGGCGCTACTAATTTGCTTATATACGAACAATTGCTATTAGCCTTTAAAAGTATTGATTTGATTCATTAGTAAATAGTGAATGAATCAGTAAAGCTGCTGAATCAATGAGTCAGAGACTGAATCAGTCTCTGCATCTATTAGTCTAATAATAGGATTAGAGAAAACAAGGGATTCTGTATGGGTTCAAAGTTAAAGAAAATAGCTAAAATTAGAATACATTATCACACAAAGCTGATAAATATTGTTGCTATGAGCCAACTGCCTCTGTACCTGAACACTTTTGAGTGAACTACAGTTTGTTCACTGAAACTGTAAAAGGTTTCTTTGATTTTATTCGTAAAATATGTGGAAGAGGTAATCTGTGAAGTAGCTGATTTTCTTGCACAATACTACTTTCCCTTCTACTTCTTGTGCTAAGATGACAAAATTTTAAATGAATCTGGTAGCAGTTTAAAGGCAAAATATTTATTGTACTGAAGGATTTTGTGTTTGGATGCATGTCATGTTCTAATGGGGAAAAAAGTAATTCCAGTAATATTTAGATTGCTCATTGAAATGTATTTTACATATTAAAATAAATAGGTAGGTGGGTAGAAAGTGAACACGAACAAGAACTATTTCAAAAAAGGACTCTTATTTTTCTGTTCGCTTTTTTCTGTGTGAATATACTTCTGATGCTAGTTTACAAAAGTAAAGATTATAAAATTTATTTTATTTATTTATTCATTTATTTATATCCTGCCTTTATTATTTTCACAAACAACTGAAGGCAGTGAACCAGGGTTGGGTTTCTGCTAGTTCTAACCTCTTTTATAGAAGAGGTTCCACAAATCTACAGTGCCGTTTAGAACCGGTTCCAGCTCCCTCCCCCCACCTGTCCGCACATCATCAAGATGAAGAGCAAGAGGAGGAATTCTGGGAGTTGAAGTCCACAAGTCTTAAAGCTGTCAAGTTTGAACACCCCTGGGAGGTTTTTTTCTAAAGGGTTAGGGGTGCAAGGGTCTTGTAACTTGATAGCTTTAAGACTTGCGTGCTTCAAATGCCAGAGTTTCTGAGCCAACATTTTGGTTGCTAAGCAAGAGCATTGTTAAGTGAGTTTCACCACATTTTACAAGTTGGCCACACCAACCCAGTCACATGGCTGGCAAGCCACCCCCACCTGGTCACATGCCAGCAAGCCACTCCCACAAAGCAGGCCATACCTACAGAAGAGGTTCTAAAAAATTTTGAAACCCACCACTGCTGTGAACATATCCAACGCATCTTCCTCATCCTATTTTCTCCAAACAATAATTCTTTGAGGTGAATTGGGCTGAGAAACAATAAGGTCACCCAGCTGGCTTTCATGGCAAAGGCAGAACATGATATCACGCTCTCTTGTTTTCTAGTCTGGTGCCTTAACCACTCTTGACTTAAAACAATGTGTTTAGGGACCATTTAAAGTTACAGTGGCAATGAAAAAAGTGACTTACAACTGGCCCTCAAAGAACCGTACAGGGTTGGGATTGAAAAATGTTAGCAACCGGTTCTCTGCTCGGGAGGCCTGTTTTTTGCCCTCCCAGAGCCTCTGCACTTACCTGGCATGATGAACAGGCCACATGGAAACTCCTGGGAGGGCCGGGGCAGGTGGGCGGGGTTAGCTATTGCATGCCTATAATATACTATGGCTATAAACAGTATTGGCAGTCCCGAAGATACTGAGAATCTGTAGAAATAATTTAACCAAACCTTTGTGGGCAAAGTTCTCTCAGAGTAAATTAAGTTAGGGTGGCCCATATTTAGTGAACTAAGAATATAGCATTGAATGGAGGTGGGGAACACCATGAGAATCAGAGTGCCTGGAACTCTGAACAAGAATTTTTCAAATATAAATAGCCAGAGAAGTAGTAAAACCAACTGTTTGTTTAACATAAAGTTGTAGTTCTTATTATCTGTATTTTCTTACAGCTGCTGTTTGGCAGGCCGGGCTTATCCATTGGGCAATATTCCTGAAGACTTGGTACCATTGATTAAAAACCAAGTTAGTATTTTTAAATACTTCTATAAAAATTATCAGGAAAAAATGTACTTTAAGAAAAGAAAAAGTTATGCAAGTTGCTACCTTTGATAAGAAATGAACATTTTCTTAGCGGTGTAATTTTGTGGTAGATCTCCTTTAACAATAAGCGGTATTCATTTTGGGCCCCAATTATAGAATTAACAACCTTCTTAGGTTAACTCCTAATCTGCGGTTTCATGTTTAGAATTGTATTCATATATGAGCAAGATGCTCGGAAACTGTAATGCTGGTGAAGCAGTACTGCATAAATTGTGAGCAGGGATATAGCACATTTTTTTAAATTTATGTTTCATCTGAACATTCTATTTATATATTTTATTATCTTTTCTCCCTTTTTTATATTGTTGTAAATTTTAAAATGTATTGTTTTGATATAATGTACAGTGTTAGTTAAAATTATTGACAGTCTATCATTTTGATAAGAGTATTAAAATATTTATCAGTATTAAGTACAATTTATAATATTTTTACTACAAGCATAAAATTATTTTAATTTTGAAATGAAATTGAGCATAACACTAAAAACCTCTTTATACTTATTAGAGCATATGAATGTAGGAAATGCTTTATTAAGAATATATCTGCAGTAAACATACTAAGCTTAAATTTTGAAATGTTTTATGTGAATATAAAATTGAAGTTTGGTTTAATGAATGTGCTAGAGTAGTGTATGGTACAACTAAAGTACATGAAAAAATGAATTGCATAATTAGGAAATGTTTCAGCATTGAATTGTTTAAATATATTTATGGATTACACATGTAATTATTTTCATAATGTTAGAGATGTGTTGGTTGGACATAATTGTACACATAATTTTGTATGTCCATCCAATCTTGATAATGAGTTATGCAGATATAAATATATGAATCTGAATGAGTAGTAGTTAATATTGGGTATGATAGAGGAGAGAGTATGTATCAAAGAATGTATCCAAGTCTAAGGTGGGTTATGAATATGAAATGAAAAATTGCAAGTTATATTTAAATGGCATATTAACTACAGGAAGTAGATGAATTTGTGTATCACAATTGAATGTTTAATGAGTGAGTGAGTGAATAACTCCTCAGAATATTATATCTTGGAATGTCCATGTGATATGGTCAAAAAAGTCAAAATGGTGACTGCAATAGTGTGGAAGCCTTGCCAATTTTTATGTGCATTGCGCATAAGACACCTTTACCTTATACCTTATTGTACAAACTGATATGTAACCTTGTATTTAATCAGTTGGAACGCTCTACTGTAAAAAAAAACCTTTGACATAAAGTCATACTGCTGTGATATTTCAGTCTGTGTTGTCAATAGTGATAAGCATGGTCCATGTTGGGATGTCTCAAGCCCATGATGGGTTTCTGTTCTTAGCATAGCCCAGATAACCTAGGAGATGAGGCAAATGGGTGTTCTCAATCCATGCTTCTAAAACTATAGCGTTTCTCTAAAACGGTCTTTGTTTTGAGGCTCTTTGAAGTGATGTATCATCTTAAACACAAAGCTGTCAATTTCACTCAAAAACTTCAGCATACATTTCAAAGCATTTGTAAGTTAGCATCAGGGGAGTATTGATGGGCCCTTGGTTACCCAAGGTCTTGCGCCATAAAGTTTAGAGGGACATACTCCACTGATTTTTTTCATCAGTTTCAAATGGAAGAAAATTCCTAATTCTTGGGGGTTTGATCACGTAGAGTAGCAGTAGATCAAGTAGAGTCTTGGAATATTCTTTTTGGAGATCTATCACAGCAGGAGTCTCAAGCTGTGAAAGTTTGATCAAATACAAGTGGAGCATCAAAGGTAAATTAATGTAAGTATGATGTTGAAATTTTCTTACAGGCTTGACATTTTCTTTTTGTAGTGTTTGACCTGTATTTCAGCAAATTCTTCTTTTTCTTTCTGTTTTAAATCCTGCTAGCAATGATTTATCTTAATTTCTTGTTTATCCCAATGAACTAATTCATGTAGTTAGTCTGGAGAAATAAACTGAAACAAAAATGCAGTTATGCATTTTATCAGAATTCATTGTTTAGGAAGTCAGTAGTAATAATCTGTCAAATACAAATATGAAGCAGCTACGTACTAGTGATTGTAAATACTAATGAAATTAACCATAAAACATCTTGACTATTATTTTGTTTTAAATCACTGATGTTGGAAAATTCCTGAAAAAAATTCCTGGAATTGATATACTTCAAAGTGTTAATTCCAGCATTTAGATTGAGCAAAATTTATACTCATTCACATTGCAGGTCTTTGAATTCCTCATCCGTCTACATTCAGCTGAGGCCCCTACAGATGAAGAAGTGTATCCCTACGTTCGTACACTGTTACACTTTGATACACGAGAGTTCCTTAACGTTCTTGCATTGGTAAGACTAATTACTAATTACAAAGATAGAAAGTCTCATTATCTCTTGTGTGATCTTAAACAATGGTGTTTAATGTTTTGGCAATTAAAGAGCAATGGTTACTTTTTAAGTCTGAGGATCATGGTGGGCATAGTATCATGGTTAATTTTTAGAGTGGGTTCATACAAAGTTTGTGGAAAGTGGAGACTTTAATGCCTTGTGCACCTATTTTCTATTGTTCCTTCTGAAAATAAGGAGAAATTAGTGATTTGTAGTACTTTTGGGGAAATATAAATGAGAATGGATGGTTGCTTGTGGTAACACAACCACTCTTTGTCTTAAACATATGTGTTGGATCTAGATTACCATATTTTTCGGAGTATAAGGCACACCTTTCCCCCAAAAAAAGAGGGTGAAAATCTGGCGCGCCTTATACACTGAATACAGCATTTTTGGCTACCTGAAACCTTGCCCCCTTCACAAAAATGGACATGCAGAGGGTTGGGGAGGCCTGCAAACTGCTCCTGGGGGCTGGGAGGGGAAAAATGACCCCCTGCAGCCCCCACTTTGCAGGCCTCTGAAACTGTCTGCATGCCCCGTTTTTCACAAAAAAAAATGATGCGTGCAGAGGGTTTTGGAGGCCTGCAGAGTGCAAAAACTTTTTTTTTTAAATTTACCTCTTCAAAATCTTGGTGCATCTTATACTCCGGTGCATCTTATACTCCAAAAAATACAGTAAATAGTTGACTTGCAGAAGTTCTTCATTATTGTCCTCACTCTTTCTCTCAACTATCCTGTCTTCCAAAAATGCTATACAACCTAACTAGAACTTTGCTGAGTAGAATGGAATAGGTGTGATTTAAGAAGAGTAGAAGCAATCTGTCCTAAATGTAACAAGGATACCTATGTAAGATGCACTGATAATTCTGGAGATTCTCCTTTCCCACCAGTACATTGCCTGCCTCATTTAGCAAGATATCCTGACTTATGAAGTAATCTTTCCTGTGGGTTGCAAAGGCTGTCAAGGAAGGGGTATATAGTATATTTTTATCCGCCTAGTTGCACATGGCTGGGAATTCTAGGAATAGAAACACAACATGTCTGTGGAACACTGAGTTGGGAAAAACTAATTATAATTATTTTTTCCTTTAGGAATCAGTGGTTTATTCATTCATTTATTAAAATTTATTTAATTTTAAATGTTTCTATGTCACCTATCATAGAAAGCATCTCCAGGGAGCGTACAATTCTCAAAATAAATTAATTGTGGTATTAAAAGTTATAAGCTTAAAAATAACCAATGGACATTAATAATAGAGTAATACCAGCATAAGCCATCAGATGTGAATTTTAATGAAAAGCTTTTCAGCTTGCACCTGAATTATAGTCACATTAGTTTTTTATAGTATTGAAAACCATTATAAAAACATTACATTTATTCAACTTATCAGTTTACCAATATTGAATGCATATGGTTCATTTATATTTTAGTAGAAATGGTAATGTGTTAAATACGTCTCTTCACAGACTAACATTGTTATATGGGTTCTATTATATTGGTGACCATTTTACCATGTTATGAATTACTTTATTCCTTGCTTGAATAAAAAAAAACATTATAGCAATAGTACTTAGACTTCTATAGTGCTTCACAGTGCTTTACAGCCCTCTCTAAGTAGTTTACAGAGTCGGCGTATTGGGTCCTCATTTTCCCAACCTCAGAAGGATGGAAAATTGAGTCAACCTTGAGCCAGTGAGAATTGAAGCAAACAACTCCTGGCAGTCAGCAGAATTAGCTTGCAAATACTGCATTCTAACCACTGCACCATCATGGTTCCTAATAATATACCTTCTTTAATCTTGATATTTTCCAAATGTATTGAAGGAGGACACATTAAAACAGCATCACCAAAATTCTGGGACTTCCATCTTTTCATACTTGGAGGTTAGAGAGATTGATTTTAACACATGATAGAAAGCAGTGGTGTCCTTAGGCTATCCTATCACTATATACAAGAACAGAAAAGAAACAGTCATATTCATTTAATTACTCATTTTGATATTCAAGAAGAATTTGAGATATATGATTAAGGCTTAGTTATTAGAGTCTCTAAGCGCTTGAAGGGATGGAACAGAAGGATGGCTTTTTTTTTTTTTAGTTCTTTCAAGTTAATATTCTAAATTCATTCATGAATGCACATTTTCTGTTTCATTTCCTCTCCCCTCTGGTCAGTATTGTCCTTTACCATGATTCCCCTTCCTGGAAGGAACTTATAGGCCAACAGACAACATTACTGTTTGCAAAGTATATATGGATTCTTAATTGGGACAAGATAAGGAAGTCCGAAGCAGAGTTATGATGAGTAGCATTACATGAGGGACAGTGGGATGGGTCCTATACTCCCTTGCTTACCTCCCAAGGAAGAGCGAAGATAACAATAGTTACATTATTTCTTCACACACACACACACACA